CAGATTTTATTCCTGCCAGGGAACTTTTATTTAAAGACAAAGACTTTATTGTTCCCCCAGTAGTTTTATTTCAGAGAAATACCTATCTGCACCTACTGCTGCTATATTGGAAGTGGATGTAAGAGCAGGAGAATATTTAACTAGAGCTTGTTGTCACTGTAGAACAGATTTGCATGAAAACATGGGTTTTTGGGGCTCAGTTTCCTTGATACAGCTCCACTCACCCAGCATACCTGGTTACCTCTTTGCTGGGGAGTTACTCATGGCCACAACACAGGTTTGGTATTGTGGCACTCTGTGCTGTTCAATTCTTCATTCTCCCCTTGATGCAAATTTGGCTCATGCCAATCAGCACAATTCCAAGGGCTGCAGGACCTAAATACAATGAAAAATTATCTCCTAATTTTAACAGTAGTGTGAACAAATATTTAAGTATTATTCATACTATTGCATAGCTATCATTTTTTTCTTTGCTAATGAAAATATATAAAATATATATTGCAACTATTACTTGTAAAGGTGTTACCAGACGTGTGTTTAGTAGACTTCAAGATGAGTTTACATTATTAGTAGAGCAAACTATTTCAATTAAAATTGAAATTTTAAGTGTGTCCCTTATATTCAGTATTTTATACTGATGTCCTTTCTAATAGCACTCTGAGATTTGTTGTGAGAATTGATTTCTCCATTTGAAAAACTGGAGGCATTTTGGAAGGGGTTCCTCATTAGGGGAGAGTTTTGAAATACTACAGCTAATGGGAAAATGGGAATCTAAGAGGTATTGTACTTAAAGCTGACTTTGCTGCATTGCAAAGACTTCCTTGGCATCAAAATCTTGCTGCAAGGAATTCTCTTGCTGCAGTATCTCACTGGAAACCAGCTAAGCAGGGGATCAGCACACAAAAGTTGCATATCCTGATTACACTTTCGGTTTCCAAGAAGCTGATGAAATCCTAGACTTGTAAAACTCCTTGGTAAAACATCCATTCTCTCTGAATTTCACCCATTGCCTTTCTGTGTTGAGTGTCTTTATGTTGCACCAGTAGATTGCCTGCATTTGTGCCTGGAAGGTAAATGTACTTTGTGGCAGGCCACTGAGAAACTATTTTGATTTGAGATGCCAGCAGAATTTTTTAAAACAAGCCAGTAAATTGTGGATTAACATATCCACAAGAGATGTTTATTCAAGATTTTTAAAGGAAGCCAAAGATGAAGTTGCTGAGTAACTCTGGGCTGCTGTTTATGTTGCCCTTTATGCAATTTTTTGAGAAATTAGGGGTTACAAATAAACAATTTTTGAAAAGATAACGAGGGAAATGCAGGGAATGGAATCCCCAGTGATCACTCTTTGGACATGTGCTCTCATATTTTCATCAGTGGTGTGGAAAAAGGAGAAGGAGATGACAATATATGTTGACAGTATGGAATTCTTCAGGTTGCTGAAAAATTAGATCTGAACAAGAAACAGTGCAGAAGTTTCTCGTTGGTAGTTTGTATAATGTTGACAAAGGATCAGAAAAAAATTGCAGATCTCTAAATAAAAACCAAATAATTAATTGGAAGGGAAAATGGTCCCAAAAATGCACAAACAGCAATGTTCTATAAATTTGGTCTTTTTGCAACTGAGGAAGGATATATGTAATCATAAGAGGTGAAACTGTAAACTGTGGCAAGGAGGCAAATAGAATGTTAACAGTCTTTAAAAAGCAACCGAAAAGAAGACAAAGCATCATTTGCAGATTTATAAATCCCTACTGTGCCCTCAAGTGGGGTATGCAATTTTAATTCTCATCCTCTCCATCTCAAAAAGGTGTTGAGAAGTGAAGACAAAGTTGAGCTTGAAAATATAGAATTTTCAAATTTTTTTTTTGGAGTTTAAATCCATGGAAGGACATGGAGACTCAACTAGAATTATATAGATTAGGATTTTTCTAGGTTGGGAAGAGACAAATGGAGAGGCAGAATTTTCTAAAGTATAGAAAATTATGAGTTGTGTAATTGAGTAGGAAAGCACAGCAGTTAAAGTAAACTGTCTGGTAGTTTCATTATAAAAAAAGGAAATACATTTTTACAGATGAAATTAATTATCAAAAGTCACAATTTATTTCCCAGCATTTTTAGGTTCAAAAATGATGAACACATTCATAGTTATCCCCTGATGGCTGTTACAAGTGATAAGACAATCTTAGAGTCATAAAACCTCAAAGCCACCAATTGCTAAAGTTGGAAGGATTTATATGTTTTTTAGAATTTTTGCCCAACCAATTGCTACAGTTTAAGGTATGGAGTAGAAAATGTTCTGTCTACTGCTGGTGTTATTACAGGTAATAGGACATAATTCAGCAGAGCAGCTGCTGTGTAATGGTGTGACTAATGATCTCTGAATGGTTTCAGGCATTTGTAGGAAATCTGCTGTATTTGATTTCAGTGCCAGCAGCAGTTGAATTACATCTTCCTTCACTGTATAGCTGCTGTTCTAAAGCACAGTCTACAAATCCACCTCCTTCTTCTGAGATAAAACTTTATGATAACACAGAAAAAGTCAACAGTAATGCAGTGCAAAATGACAGCCATTGCTTCGCTGACCAATTCAGCCAATTTAGACTGGCTGAAGTTGAACATCCACATGATATTCAGTCAGTCACTCATATACCCCATGCTTGGATCAGAAATGCTGCACAAAAACATCCCTGCTATCATTCTCCCACTCTCAAGAAGCAGCAAATCCACTTGTTTTGATTATTCTTTCTTGAGGCTCTCTCTTTACTTATTTGTGGGACTCTAGGGTTGGTTTAAATACTCTTTGTTTTCCTCACTTTATTTTTAGACAGGGTGTCACTGTGTTGTCTGAATTTGTTCTCCCAGCCTTGTACCAACTGTTTGAAGACTCTTGGGTTTTGTCCTTCATAGCCTGAAAGATGTGAGTCACACCTGGCTGCACATTCTTCATACTTCACTACTATCTGTGCTCATTCCTCCCAGCCATTTGTGTTAAGGTGACAGTGGTTACCTGGTTAACTACTGTGTCACACTGACTGCATCAAATAGCACCTGCTGAAATGAGAGTTCCACAACAGCACGGTTTTGTTGTGGAAGAAGGATGTTACAGTGCAGAAATCTGATAGGAGCTTTCCTGTCCCTTCACCAATAAGGTTTACAGCAATAAAGTGTTTCTTAATAAAAATCAATGAACAGAAACATCATAACTCTCTCCTCTGGGCTCAGTTGCATTATCACATCATCATAGCTTGATGCCAATTGATTCAAGAACATCAAACTACAATGCCACTTCAGTTTCCACAGGTGACCATAAACATGCTTTTAGCCCATGGCAAATGTAAAGTAATAGGACTGAGCTTAATCCTTTCTGAAATATTTGCTTTATCTCATCCCTATGTGCACACAGCTGTTGTGACTCATGTGAAATTTGACTTCACCATGTGTTTAACTCATACTCATAAAATGTTTTTCATGGTAAATAGGTTGCCCTAAAAGAGCAATTAGCTTGAGGTAGGAGTGCAGGTGTATTATTTCTTCAAAGGTGTTCCCTCACATGGTGAGAGCCAGTCCTGCATTCCTTCTCCCTTGCAGGGCAGTAAGTGTTTCCAAAGTCTAAATTTGTTTCTGTTCAGCCCAACCAGCAGTTTTTTTCTTTTTTAAGTTTCCTTAACAGCCTTTCTATTTTCTCTTGTGCCCAAAAATGCTTTACTTTTTTTTTTTTCTTTTTCTCCTCCAAAACCATTGGGGAATCCAATGATTGGACCAGCATGTTACAACAGAAATCTAAATCCTGTGAGGGCAAAGACATTTTAATGCAATATGAAGATCAATAGTATTCTGTCCTTACAAGTCTAGTGAATTGGCAGTTGTTCTTAATATGAATATTCTATTTCAGCCTGCTACATTACATAACTAGGTAATCTACATCTTTAGTTCGTCCTTCCCACAGACAGAAATGGTATTTCTTCATATGCTGGCAGTGTTGCTTTATAATATGTCAAAATATATGTCATGGGTACTTGTTTGTTTGGTTTTGGCTTTTTTTATCAGGGTACCTTTTTTTTCTGGATTGTGTTTTGTTAATTTTGGATTAGCAGATTGGCTGTTACTAGACAGTATCTGTAAAGGCCATCATGTTTTGCAGAAATAAGGGAGTTACCACTCTTCCAAAGAATAGTCTAATGAGGCTATTGAATATAGGCAACTGTAAAACTTAGCTTCTTTAATTTGGAAATTGAAATCCTGATATATTTTAGTGACAAAATATGTTGTCCACACACTGTTGTAAATTTCTAGAATTTGCTCACAATGGAATCACTGACTCCAACAAGCAAGACTGTCTGTGTGTGTCTTCTTAGCTTTTTTTCTTTACTTTTCCTCTTCTCTATTTTGTCTTAAGTAGCCTTAGAATTAGGGGAGATGTTACTGAAAATAGGATTAAAAGCATTTATGAAATCAGAACAGAAATAGAATGCAGGGATCATAAAGTTTTGGATACTCTTTCAGGTCTGGAGAACATCACAGCAAAGGTGCCCTGGTTTAGGCAGGATTTGTTTTATATAGGTTAGTTGTTGCAATGGGTTGGTTACTCAAGACTTCCAGAAGCAGTCAGGAATAGTGTAGGTGAGCTTTTAATGCTGCCCTTCCCTTTTTATAGCTCTCTCTTGCAAGACAGAGTATTGTGGTTTCCATTTAATCACCTTTGAAATAATTGTCCAATTGCACAATAATACACAGCCAACCTTTCATAAGTTTCTTATGTTTCAAAATAGACAAGGGAGTGGTGTTGAAGACATCTGCAGCTGAGGACATGAGAGGAGGGAAAATGGAAATACTTGTAGTGATCAGTAGCAACTGCAATGTTAAAGGTCCTCTTCTTCAGCTGATAAATAGTGTGAGGTCTAAATCTCTTTCCTAATTAGAGAAAAAGATTTGCCCCAAGGTCAAAGCTGCGATGAGATTAAATGTATTAATCAGAAATTTCTCTTCTGTTTTTTCAGAAGAATGGAGTATCAAACGGAACCCTCTACAAAAAAACATTTATTGAGCACTTTGAACAGGCACCAATGTATGTTGCAGTTTTTACTTTCGTGGGGTTTGCAGTGGGAACAATATTTGGCTACCTGCGAGATTTTATGAGAGCCTGGGGACTAGAAAAACGTAACATTGCTGCGGAGAGAGAACAACAAAAAGTATGTATGAAAAAGTCATTCTGTATCCACAGCTGAGTTTTCCTCTGGTTGCAAGTGATTTACAGCAATTTGTGGGAGTAACAAGGCAGACAACCTTCATTTTACAGAATGTTGCACAGGGGTGAGAGGAGTGACACACCCTGCCAGTGGAGTTGTATGCATGTGTATGATTATGTACCTATATTTATGTAAAATCATCATTTTTACCCAGGGACATGTTCACCTCATTCTAAAAGTGCCATAATACTCTCAGCAAAACAGAATCTCAGTTTATTAAGTCAATCCATGGAAAAAGAAAATTCATAAATGCCTTATTGTTTAATATTTCATCTTTCCAAATCTCTTCGACCCAAATTTTCCTTTGTCCCATCTAGCTATCTTATGGTGCCTTTCATAGTGAGGAAGTTCTGGTTTTGTAATAATTGAATTCTTGTAACTCCCAACATTTTTTCATCCCATATAGTTCCAAGTGAAACTTGCATCTTAGCAAGATCAACTGCCTTCCAACTTTGCTTACAATTTTTTGTTCCTCCTCCTTCTCTGTGCAGTTTGATTCATCATTTATGGTAACACCTGGCATAATGAAGGAAAAACATGAAGAGTTTTACTGTTTCTCTTGCAAATAAAACTCCTGAAATTGTTTCCTGATTTAGACTTTGAAATATCACTTTCAATTCACTTCATGATCTGGCCATTTGTTAATTCCAGTTGTGCCAGTTAAATTTTTTTGTCTTTCACTATGGATTGCATGTTTATTTAATTTTCCCACATATGTTAACTGCATGCCATGTTATTTTATCAGTTTATTGTATGCAGTGCTCAACATGAATATATTGCTGTTTCATATAGAGAAAAAGCTTTGTTTAAATTTAATTTCCAAGCAAAATCCATAGATATTCATTCATTCTCAACCAAAAAAATTGTCATAACTGGATGTTTGCGTTTCCACCCTAGGCCAGTAATGCCCAAATCACAAATATTGGAATAGCTTTTGTCTTATGTGTCCAGCATTTCATGAAAGGTAGTGAGTTCTTTATCCTACTTTTCTGCAATCTGCTCCACACATAGAAAAATGCTCAATTTGAAGCAATTGGTTTCTTCAAGTGAAACAATCTTGATTTCTCTTTTTCCATTTCCAACTTTCAGTACATATAGAGAAAGTTGGACCAACTTGTTTACCATTTAAAAAAAACCTGACCAACCAAAAAATAAATGAAAAAACTCCTAATCTTTAAACAGAAATAAAATACCCTCAAAGAAATACAACATTGTGTTTTAAAGGAATTATAGAAAGGATACAGTATTGCTGTTTGGAGTTGTAAGCGACACAGGACCATGTGGCTGCCGTGACTCTCTGTTTATTGATGAATCAGTTTTTCCTTGCTAATAGGAATGACTTTGGTACAGAAGGAGTTATTTTCACAGCAACATAACCCTGTGCATGTTTTCAAACCAGGATTTTGTGCCACTTTATCAAGATTTTGAGAACTTTTACACCAGGAACCTCTATTTGAGAATACGGGATAACTGGAACCGTCCCATTTGCAGTGTCCCTGGGCCACAGTTTGACCTCATGGAACGTGTTACAGATGATTACAACTGGACATTTAGGTGAGTCATCTTACACTCTGCAGCTCTCAGCCTCATGAGCATGCTCCCGACATCTCTGCAAAGCACACAAAGTTGTGTCCAGGTCCTTGTCTAATATCCACCAGCATATTTCATTCTGCAGTCAGTACCATGCTGGCAATCTGACCCTTTTCTTCTGAGTATTTGTTTGGAAATGCAGTATAGATTTCCATCTCAGTTGCAGATGGGTTTGGCTGTGTCAGCACAAGACTGCTCATGCACCATTTATAACAACAGACCTTGATTCTCAATATTACAACAAAATTTGTTTTATCCCTTGGTTAGGTTTTATATCACAAGTTTTTGCACTGCATGAATATGGTTTCCTACCTTCACCGGGAGTCTTTGGCAGTGGGTTTTAAGCAGATTACAGCTTGAAGGTTTTGGTGTATTGCAGCTGAATTACACAGCAATGGGAATTCACAGCATAGACAATGTGTAGGTTGGCTATATTTGAGCTTATTGGGAATGTATCATAGTGTGTCCCATATTTTCATCAAGTTTAAGTTCTGTGTGTGAGAGAGAACACTGGTGACTTAATGGAAGCAGTTCATAATTTTCTTGAAAAATTAATGTCTGTAAGTTGTTCCTTAAATAAATTCCTATGTTTGTTTGTTTATTTAAATCCATAAAAGCAGACAGTGATCACACACCCGTTTATTGCCATCTACAGTGTGACTTCTAGAACGCATTCTGACCATGAAGAAGTACTTAGGAAAAGAGGAAGGCTAGAAAAACTTTTGGGGTATTAGAATATGAGGATTGTCAATTCACAAGTAGAAATTTAACACTGGAACAAAATCTGGTGGGAAAATTTTGGCATTTTTTTTCTTTTCATTTGGGATTGGAAGGAAAATTGCACTATTGTTCAAAATTTGCTTTAATTACAGGTTTACAGGAAGGACTATCAAGAATGTAATCAATATGGGTTCTTATAACTACCTCGGCTTTGCAGAAACAGATGTTAATGCTTTGAAAACTGTGACCATAGAGTTAGAAAAATATGGGACAGGAGTCTGCAGTACCAGGCAAGAGATGGGTGAGTAAACAGAGACATGGCCACCAAAGGTCCTGTAACTACACTCTTCTTCTCAGACATCTTAAAAGAATTGGATGCAGATACAAAGAATCACACCAGCAATTACTTGTTTCACAGTTAAAAGTAATGCTGTGTTTTATTTGTTCTCACATGAGGGGTTTTTTCAAAAGGAAAACCAATGCTGATTTTTGGAAAAGCTAAACCAAGTGTGTCATCTACTGGCCTGGGATTTTTAATGATGGAAACACACATTGAGATTTCAACAATTTTTCTGGGGCAAATTCAACTGCATCACAGATTTATATCAGTTACCACACACAGAGGTTTCAGATTAGATAAATGATCTTTTGCATAATGTTTTTAATCCCATGTTCTAAGAATGTATTGGAATGTTTTATCAGATACTATTGGCACAAAACAGAAATTTCTAGTTTGCCATTAGCAAATAAATTCAGGAAGGCTCCATCTGACATTTTTGGTTTTATCTGTTATGATTGTCTGCTTTGTTAGTTTGTAGGCTGCATGCAGTGTTACCTTCTACACACAGCCTTGCATTGTTTAGGGTACAATCATCTTACATTAAAAAAAAAACAGTTTCAAACAGAGAAATGCAAGGGGAGGTTTCCCTTCAGGCTTTATCTTTCTTAGGAGTATTAAAAAAAAGGAAGGCTTCCCAGAATGGAGAAGTCTATAAAGTCTATAAAAGATTTCTTTTTTTTAATCCAGCAACCTAAAAAATTGCATTATCTCCATTGTAAACTATGTTCTTCCATAAAACTTACAGAAAAAATACTGTATTTAATTTAGTTTTTTTATTTAAAGTCTCAATTTCAGAAGAAAAAGTAATGCAGACTTTGTGATCTGCTTCTTATCTTGTCATTGTGGTTTGATTTGCCAATAATAATTACGTCAGTGACACCACTCAGAGAAGGTTTACAGATTGACCCCACTTTCCTTGTGCAGGTGACCCATCTGGTGACTGCAATATATTATTATTTAACCTGAATTTCATGCTTGAAAGTGGTCACCATTGCTAGTCCTTTAAGGTATTGAAGGAAGCTTTCTCTCTTTTTCTCCCAGATTCCATTTTGTCTAAGAACATTTCAAGTTGTTTTCAGGACATCTAAGATTATGGCTGGAGTTCCTTATTTAGTAGCTTTTGCTGAAGTTTTTTACTGAAAGATTTATTCTTAAAAGCAAACAAACAAAAACAAACAAAAAAAAAGAAAAAAACCAAAAAACCACCAACCCATCTTCTTATTAAAAGAGGATTCTGTGTTCAAATATTAAAAATCTTACTAAGTAACTTCATCCTATCTATCTGAGAACCAATGTAGAGAGATTTCTAGGGTATCCTCTTCATCTGTGCTGTACTCAAAGTTATTTTGACTGATTGAGCAAGGATTTAGATTCATTCTAATTGCCTTCATAACACACAGTCCCATGAGCTGCATCAAGGCTATTCACAATGCAAGAATGGGCTGCAGATAAAGAGCATGCTAAAAGCCTTGTGAGTCTCAGTCTTTTGGAAGTGGATTTTGGAGAGCAGCTTGGACAAAGTAAAGCAGGGTGTTTAGGCCTGGCTTAGCTGGTGTAACTTAGCTGTCACAGCAGTTTATCCTGGGCAGGTAACAGAGGGGCTGTGTTTGTGTTCTCCTTATTGAGAGGTGGCTCCACAGGGCAGGGCTGAGCAGCGGCTCCTTTGTTGGTGCTGGCTCTTTGGAACTCTGTCACCAAGGTCTGTATAAACAGCCTAAGGAAAACAGCTTCTTATCCAGAGTGGATAATCTCTTTCCTTGTTCCTTTATGTTCTTTTGCTTCATTCTCATCACAGTATGACAGAAAAATTCTGAGTTAGATATATTAAAGAGAGAGACAGGGAAGGGTCTGAATGAAACATCTTACCTTTATAAATTATCATTTCTCAGCTTCATCTTAGATAAAAGGAACAGGATGAGTTTGTCTCTGGGCAGATCACATTTCAAAACTTCTGTTGTTATTGTTTGTGGAGCTAAAGTGTTTTGAAGTAGAAGTGCAGTGAGCTGCAAGAGCCAAGGCTGCAAATTGCCTGTAGGGTTCTAATTCAAGAGAGCACTTGAACGTATTTATGTTTTCAAGCTAATTCACTTTGAAAGTACTGCTCTGCTCGTGTGCATTTAAGTGTCTGGCATGTCTGAGTTTCACCAAGATCTCTCTCTAAGCAGTGCTGGCTCTCTTTCTGAGAAATCATTCCACTACTTCCAGAGGATTTCAGATAGAGGGTAAAACAAAAAGGACACAAATGAAAGTAATGTGAGTGGTGTTTGAAAGAATACATGATGGTAAAACTGTCCTTTATGTCTTCTGCCTACACTTCTCCTAAAACTATGGAGGCTGTGGAGAGGGCACACAATGCTGTCATATCAGAATGCTGTTGCAGGTAGTTTCCTCTGACAAGTGGGTTAAAGCTGATGAAAACAGTGGCTGAACTTCCAAGGCTTATCCCTCATAAAAAGATTTAAGGCTTTTCAATCCATTTTTAATTCCATGCTCTTCTTAATTATAACAATCATAATAATTAATGTCTTACTATAACAGTGTCATTTCAGACATGTTTCTAAGGGGTTTGTGGGACTTTCAGTGTGAAAAAAAAAAACTTTCCTTTTTTTTAAGACCAAGCTAGCTATTAGCCCCTAGGAGCAAGATTTTGAAGTTATAAGGGGTACATCCATGGAAGAATTAACTTGCTGTTCCAGATCAGAAAGCAAAACAAACTCTAGAAATTAGAAGAAAGTACATAGAAAGCCAACCATAGAGCCTCAGTACACCACTGCATAAAGCTGCTGTTTGTTGTTGTCTTGAGTACTCTGTGCAGGTGTGATCAAAAATATTTAGCAAAACTGGAAAGTGTAAGAGCCACAGGGATCATCAAAGACCAGAGACAGCTTCTGGATGAAGAACTACTGAGCTTGCTGTCTCCAGCTGTCACAGATGCCTGTCATCTGTCTCAAAAAAAGAGCTTCCGTGGAGAAATTATAGACAAATTCAACATAATGTGTGATGTGGAAGAGTGGTCAGGATTCACTGTCCTTTCCCACTACCAGATGTACGGGGCATTGTATGAAGCTGGTAGAAGGTTTTCACCTAAGTGCTGGAGGCTGCCACACCTGAGGAGCTTTTTCAGCACTGCTGTGAAAAGCATGTTCATTCTCCTGTGAAAATGTAAAAAGTTTAACAAGGAGACCAGGACCATAGAGCAAATGTTATTATGGCCAGGTGCATCTTGGCACTCAGCTGTCACCTGTCACCTTGGCACACACTGTCACCTTTGGGGACACCCTTTAAATGCCTTTTCCCTTACAAAAGCCTGTTGCATATTCATATATCGTTATGCATATCCATAAACTACTTTACATATTGTGGGAACTATTTTACATGGCCTCTCCTTGGGTCTGCGTTTTTAGAGCATGTGTGTTTCTTGGCTGTGGTTTTGGTTCCTCTTTTTCACTTCCAGTTTGGGCCTTGGTCCACTCTGTCTTCAGACAGCAGATGCTGATAGTTGGCATATCAATAGCAGGGTCCTCATCCTGTGTTCATTGAGTATTATCCCATCCAAGCATGAATTTTAACACAAGCACAGCTATTTCACTGCTATGTCTAAGCTTAATTATCAACAGAAATAAAAAACTATGTCTTTATAACAAAGTTACTTAAAATCACACATATAAAATCCATTTTAATATTTGCAAAAAGGCAATATTATAATACGTATCTATAACACTGCAGATACCAGAACTTCACTCTCCCTTGTGTTCTAAGGGAGAGTGGCCATGTGTGCAGAGGTGCTCTCCCTGATAGTTACTAGAAATACCCAAACTGTACCTGATTCAGGATGTCCTTATGAACTCTGAGAGATGCCAAGAGAGGATACAGAGATATTTGCACCTACCAAACCAGAGAAAATTGACCATGGGTGTTATTTAAATTAAAACAGTTTTGTTCAGCAGCAGTTTCTCCTGCAGGTTCAGGAAAATGTAATTTTAAAAATTTCTTTGCCTTATTCATTATACGTCAAGAAACCAACTTGGACATAAAAAAGTGGGAAGTTTTGTCTTTTAGGAATAAATGTTGGGTCTGAGAAAATTACTCATGAATGTTGAAGGATTTAAGTAGCCATCCAGTAACTCAAGGTGGTTACAAGAGAGCTGAGAGGGATTTTTTACAAGGGTGTGGAGTGACAGGATAAGAGGGAATGGCTTCAAAGTGACAGAGGGTGGGGTCAGATTAGATTTCCGGAAGAGATTCTTCCCCGTGGGGATTGGTGAGGCTCTGGAACAGGCTGTCCAGTGGATACCCATTACTAGAAGTGTTCAAGGACAGGCTGGGTGGGGCTTGATGCAACCTGATCTAGTGAAAGGTGTCCATGTCTCTGTCCAAGGCATTGGAATGAGATGGTCTTTAAGGTTCCTTCCAGCACAAACTATTCTGTGATTCATTCTGTGATTCCATAAGTAACAGAACACCAGCTGTTCAACTAACTTGAGTGTTGGGAATGTTAGGGCATTCCATATAAACTGCCCCACAAAAATATCTCTACTGTTATATGTATTTTAATTTTTCTCTCAAAAGTGTTATTATTTTAGCTTAATAAAACTGCCAGCACATAGGAACCTAATAAATATGAAATAGCAAGTGTTCCCTCCATATAGTGAAAAAAAATGAAAGAATGACAATTTGAATGTAAAGTCCTTTTTTTTAATGGCTGGAGTGGAAGTTGGCTGCTGTTAAAGGCAGATTCAAAAGCCTTTTCTCTGAGCCCATCCTGGTTTTCAGTGTTTATAGTCAGCCTTTTCTAAGCAATGTGACTGTGGATTGTTGAGAAATATGCAAATTAGTTTCCTGCTTGCTGCTTGCAGATAACAAAATCAGCAAAGTTACACTTTTTTTTTTTTAAGATGAGGCAGATTATCATGCTCTGAGTGCTCCTAGGGCCAGGCTGGTGACAGGACTGTCACATGGAC